GGCGTGGTTTGTGGAATCTTAATGACAGGCAGCGAGCCCATCTCTTGTTCTTCAAAACATTCCTCCGCAGCCGGCTTTGTGTCTAGTGATTCTTGTTCGCCAATCAAATTATCGTTGACGGAGCCAGGGAGGGAAACGACGGTAGCAGTAGAAGTATGTGACTCTGACGAATGATCAAATGCGCGTCTGCTGGACGAATCAACGGCAAGAGCATGAGTTCTTGGTGGAGACTTCTTGCCGAACAATTGATCGATTTTTTCCTTCCATTCTCCTGTTTGGGTCGATGAAGGTGCACCTCTACGAATGTCGTAAGAAGTTGTTCCAGCTCGCGCGAGTCCTTGACGGGCTGCCAGACCAGGAATTTGACTGATGGCAGGAACTGCAGGGGCTGCGGCTGCGGCTGCAAAAGATGTTGGACGAGGAGGAGCAAGCGGTGCAACGATGGTCGGAGGTGGCAATCTAACCACAGGTAATGGAGGTGGTAGAGCCACATGTGGGCGTGCAAAGTCGCTATCATAAGCCGGGTGACCAGCCATGGTAGGTGGAGGTGGAGATGGTGATGATGATCGTTCAAAACCATGGCCATTCAACTCTTCAAGGCGAAGATCACGATTGTGGCTTGGGAAGAATTTCGACTCTCGATGTGTACTTGATGCGTTAGTCTCTTGACCCGGCCATGCATTATTATTGTACTGTGTTCGAGACAAATCGGGTCGAGCATTGCCGCGAGAAGCATTCTCGGTCAAAACTGAAGTAGTCGACGATCTTCCATCAACTAAAGCAGTCGAAACCTTCTTCGTCTTACTTCTTGTGCCATCTTCATTTAATGTAACTTGCTTCCAGGTATCCTCGTAGACTGGCTGAGGAAGCTCCTCAACAATTCCAGTTGCTTCTAATTCACGTTTGCGCTCCATTTCCTCCTGGTGTTGTTGATGAAGAATTACATCCTCTTGTGATATCCTATCAGGTACGCCGCCCCAAACATGTCTAGCCATAGCTTTTCGCTGCTCATCTTCGTATGATCTTGCTGGCTGAGGCACTATGTTCGCCGATGGAGGTCCGATTGGAGGTGGTCGGGAATTGTATTGGTTTTGACCACGATTTGCCTGATAAGAACCATTACCGCGGTTTGCGCCTGGTGGTCCAATTGGTCCTGGATGAGCGGATGAATGAGGCATATCTGAGAGTGATTGGCGAGACATCTCAGGAAGCCTATTCAATTCTGGGTTAAAAGTACCGTTTCCGATTGTTTTTTCATTTGTAGGAGGTCCCCAAATCCGCGAAGATGAATTTTGTGGTGGTGGGGGGGCAGCCGACCATGAAGTGAATCTATCAGCGGGGTAATTTGAAGCTGAATTTCTCTGCCATGATTGTGAGTTTCGGTTATCGGGCATGTTTTGTTGCGTAGGCGCCGAAGTACTGGGCTGGAAGACACCATTTGATCGTGAATCCGAGCCAGTAGAGTTTCCTTCAATGTGTCTTGCATCATCATTTTCATTCGTGATTTCCGATTTAGGCACGTGGGCATCATTAGAGGTTTCTATTTCCGTCGATTTAGCCAGAACAGGTGTTTTTGCTTCGCGGGCTTGAATTGAGGTAGGAACGCTTTCTTCTTTGACCGGCTCGTCCTTAACCTTCTTCTTCTCTGGAGGTGGACCCATTGCTTCAAGCTTAATGCGAATGCGCTCCTTTCTCTCAGCCTCCTCTTTGGCTTCGGCCTCTTGTCTCCTCTTGATCGCAAGTTCACGGGTTCGTCTCATGATAATCTTTTGTTCTTCCAAAGCATCATCGTCACGTGAAGCGCCCACTGGTGGGCCCTGTGGCGGACCTTGACCATGCATGTGAATTTCACCTGAACCTGAAGCGAGTTGTCCATAAGTAGAATGAGGAGATGCATGACTAACAGCTGGAGATGCGCGTGATTGCCATGGTTGGCTTTGATTCTGATAACCTCGTTGCTGATGTTGCTGGTTTGGATAATTTTGACCAGACGGTGAGAAATTTCTTGGTGAAGACGGCGCATCACTCACAGCTGCCAATGAGCCTCTGCGTGCGTTTAACATTTCGGGAGGTGGTGGCATATCATGACCGCGGCTCATACGCCTAGCAAAATTTCCACTCCCCCCGCTAACATTAGAAGAAGTGCGACGGCGTCCGTAGTTTCCTTGTTGTGCGCTCGTGTGATGAGTTTGAAAAGCGGCGGATGGCTCTGCGGGCCCATCTTGGTGCGATGGTCGTTGGAGGACTGCAGGACCACGAGATTGTCCATCGGATCTAGAAACCCCACGTCGACCCTCATTAACAGGCTCATACCGACCAGATTGAGAATTATAGAGCTCCCGATTAGCATGTGCGTTGCTTTCTCTCCATGTTCGGCTGAAATCATCGGCCGCAATTTCCTTCGCAGCTGGTTGTGGCATACCAGAAAATCCATGAGGATCGCGTTGATTGAATCTATTTTGCTGAAATTGTTGTGAGGATTGTTGGGGAGCATCAATTGCGACAGGCGCCACTTTTTCAACTGGAGGAAGTTGGGCCCATGGAGATTTAACAGGTGTTGGAGGTCCAGGTGGTTTTGCAACGAGAGTAGGTTTTTCGGGAGCACCTTTGAGCACCAATCCGGCTTTTCCGGACCCAAGTCGAGGAGCAGGGGCAGCTATCGCCTGGGGTGCTGGTGATTTTGATGGCTTGGGTGCGGGTTCGGTTTTTTTGATTTCCTTCACAACTGGCGCAGGCTCCGGTACGGGTTCGGGAGGTGGAGGGGGTGCATCATCCGCGTGCGGTAGAGTAATCTTCGTGCCATCCGTCCATTCAATTGATTCAGGTGCCCAGTCATCATCATCATCGTCGATATCTGCCCAGTTTGCTTGCTTACCAGGGTCATCGGATTGTAATCTAGTCGCTAAATGAATACCATAACGTTGCTTGAGTTCTTCATCCGTAAATCGCTTCGGCTCGGGGGGGGCAGCAGCTGTCTTGTGTTAGAATGTTCCCCCTTTCAACATATTGTGTAACATACGTCTGTTTTTGTTCCACACGGCACTTGCATCCGGAGCGCCACCAGCTTTTCCACCATTTGCGGTAGCTGAAGTTCGTGGAGTTGAATCACGAAGGCCACTTCCTGATTTTGCGACCAATCTAGGTTTTGGTGTAGTTGAGGTTGAAGCCGTCAAAGTCGTTGGCGCAGTATTAGAAACTGTAGGACCTTTGTCTCCAACCTTCGACGGGACTGCAGCCGTGGAAGCTTTCGATGCCAAAAATGTCTTGTTCACTGAAACTGCTTTGAAAGATGGGACTGGCTTTTTAAGGGTCGAGGTTGTTCGAATGTGACTAGCTTTGTCATCACCAATTTTCGAGGTTTCCGCTTTTGTAGCTTCAGTATCCGATCCTCCATTAATACTGACCTCCGCCGAGTTATTGTTGGTGACTTCGAGAGAATCTGAATCTCGTTTGCTTCCATCTTTGTCGGCAGTCGCTCCATCTACAGAGAGAGATTTGTCGGAGGGGACATCTTGACTCTTAGTTTCAGTAGTATTCTAGGCGCATGTCAGCATTTTTTTCGATGAACTGCAAGGGATCATTGAATATATAGACTAACCAGCTCATGATCAGGAGTTGTAGATGACGTCGCGAAGTTCTGAGGAGTAGCTTCAGTTGCCATCATACGTCTTCAAAATGTTTATTTGGTATCGAAGTGACTGCGCATACGTTGACCCGATCGTATTCCGTGAATATACAAGCTTTCTATTCTAGACCTTGAAGATGTAAATATGGTGGGGGGGAATTCGTTTTCGTAAATATGAGGTTAGCTTGCGACAAATTAGGTCAGATATCCTCAATAAAAGCGGTCGCAATATCTTGTATCTTAGGTAACTGGAATCTGGAGAGGTAGAGGAAGGGAGGAGTCAATGGGAGGAAGTATTGATGTTGATTTATCTTCTTGCGGGAAACTTTCATACGATACGGACACTATTATGTATCATGTCGATGTTTAAGGTACGGGCCATTCAAATTGTGATTCTAACCTATTTAGGCAGTAGCGTGATAACGTTAAGCGTTAGCGTTTGAACCTCCTCGAGGCTGAAGTGAATTTTAATATGAACAAAAAGTAAGGTCAGTGTGTGTACCCTTGGTAATGTCATGTTGTGAATCAATCATATATCACTTCTTTATCTTTGCTAATATGACAAAATTCTATACAATTCGAATTTGGATCAATGCAGTAAAGAATATACACTAGCATACATAGGTACCCTCCAATGAATATACTCATCTCATCGTTTTACTATCGAACGAAAGTCAGGTGGTAAGGTTCTCTATATTCACAACTCCAATGCGATTATCTTACGGGTTTGGAGTCACAGCTACATCGGCTGTTCTACCCATGAGATAACCCAAAACATAAAGATAGGACAAACTCGGGGTGACACATGCGACCTCGGGACTGTTACATTGCGAAAAGCAATGAGCCAGTCAATTTTCGTGGTGTAGTGATGAGATTTAAATTGTTTCTGAACTCATTTCCTCCAACGGCACAGTTGCTTCAAAATTTTAGTGTGTCGAAGACAGTTCATAAGGTATGGCTGTGATGGTAAAGGCAATGATGTGAAATGAAGGGCGCAGTTTAGCATACTTCTGGCGGGATCATTGCCTGTTAGATCCTTCAAAACTTTGATGGAGGGGATGCAAACATGTAATGAATCTCAAGAGGCTTCGAAAGAGGTACGTGTGGTAGCCACTGCCTTGCCTATGATGACTGTGCTATGTAAATGTAAATGTTGGCTTGTCAAGTTGGAATGGATTCTTCTACCAGACATGGTGATCATCGCTAGGGTTGCTTAAGGGCACAAGTTGCGTCACACCCAATATAATGACCACAACGCATGAGATCCAACTAACGGCTTGTCTGGTTTTCATCTATTCCTTTCCTTATTTACACCTAAGTAACACAATGCCCGCGTATGTTCTCCATCGACCTTCCTCTCTCCTTGATCATCCATCTAGTGAGCATTGTTCTTGTGGTGACCTGCCCCGTATTGTTAGTTGTCTATTAATTCACAGAAATACAAAGATGTAAAGGCTTACGCAAGTGGAAGTAGTAGTTTTGAGCATAACCAATACCAACCAAAAAGATCAAGGCGTGAATGATAGGTGTGGCTGAAGGGTTCTTTCCGAAGTACTTGGCTTGGTATCTACCCAACAATCCCTTGGCCTTAACCTCTGGTGCTGGTCCGCGGGGAAGTTTCTCGTAGAAGCTAACTACACGTTGCATACGGGCAGCATCTTTGGCAGCTCCGAGTCCCTAACCCACCGTTAGACATGATATTGGTGCGGCTTGTGTTTCGGAGGTTGTGGTAGACGATGGAAAGCCCGAAAAATAGGGAAACAAAGACGTTGGCGGAGAGATATGACTTACAGATGGAGAAGCAACCTAGTCTCGAGTTAGTTCGGTTCATGAGTGAGAAGTATGGAGGGGTATAGAGGATATACCTTGGGAGGGATGAGGGTGGAAAGAGCTCTGCGTGTAACGAAACTCATCTTGAAGACTACCACAAAAAATCAGCCCAATTGATCTTCGCGCAACAAGAGATGTCATTAATTATATGCTCAACAATAACACATACCTTTTCTGACGTCGTGATGAAATCTAGGAACGGTGAAATGATATTGTCTTCAACCTTCCCTCAAATCTCGTTCCGAAAGCCTCCACTAGTCTAGTGTGCTTATGTAAGCACAACCCGGAGCCTCAAGGAACCTCGAAATCAAACATCCTATGATCTTCCCCTCAATTGCGACTTACTATACACAATATGTCACTCCTTCGTCCTTCAATCGCAGGGCGATTACTGCGCGCAACAGCTCCTACTGGAATGCGCTCTATACCAAATGGGGTGAGATGCGAATCTGGCGTTCCTATCACACCTACGAACATGCCAAACCCTAAACGTAAAGAAGGAGAATCATCGTTGATCAACCACCCACAATCAAAGGATACACTGGTTAAGCATAACCAACCAGATTACGGAGTGGAGGTTGACCAAGCTGCTTCGTGAGTTTTCCAAGGGGAATGCAACAGGAAATTGTATTGGAAAGAAGGACAGTTACTGATGGGAAAGTGGCAGATTGTTCACACCAATCCCAAAGCGTGTTATGAATGGTAGTGAAGAGGGAGAAGTTCTGCCAGCTGCAGTTTTATCTGGTGCTCCTATCGAGTTGCAAGCTCGAACAGTCCGGTATGTTCGCCATCAGCATCAAGCCTAACATAACGATCACACCAATGTCTAAACTCCCGAGTAAATAACTGATACAAACCTATCTAGCATCTATCGACCAGCTAAAACCGCCACACAATCTGGCGATTGGCATGGTCATCACTGGCGCATGGACTGGGATATTTTGTCCAAGGGCCACCGTTGGGAAAATCCTCTCATGGGTTGGCAATCATCGGCCGATTTCATGCAAGGCACACATGTAAACTTCAAAACCAAAGAGGATGCGATTAGGTTTGCAGAGAAGCAGGGTTATGAGTATTTCGTTCAAGAGCCAAATGTCAGGAAGGTTGCGCCAAAGGCATATGCAAACAACTTCTTATGGAGTGATAAGAAGTTGAAGCATATCCGGACAAAGTAGAGCATTTATGGCGAGAATAAACGATAAAATTTGGGCCTGGGGGAAGGAAGACTGTACATATCCGGATGAGCGAGGCAGACATATTTAGCTGCTTGAATCGAAGATGCATTTAAGATTGATTCCTTATTTGTTCAGCGAAAGTGGCGAAAAACATTGGGATTCTCCTACGCATTGTCGAACTAACTACGACGAGGACCATCAGACTAGCTAAGGCGTATAATTTGACGCAAGTACTTGTTCAGTTCTACTGTTTCTGGAACTTGATGTCCTTGATGTCGCGCGTTATCCCGCAGTTCTCTGCCCCCGACACCATTCGTCGCCATGTTGTATTTTTTCATAACTTCTTCTCTACTCATCATAACATTCTTCCTTTCCTCTACTACTAGGAAGTGATCAAGAGTGAAGTGAGTCAAGAAGACCTTTTCACATGATCAACATGGTTCTTCTTAGTTCCCACTTTCTAGAAAATACTCACTTGCCGCTACCACAGCCAGACTAACAGAAGGCTTAAAGAAAGTTCAACTACTTAATGACAATAAGTTTTGTTGCATATCGCATAATTCAAGGTAGGCCCCCCTTCAACCACCTACTTCAGACTTGCACAATTCACTGCAAAGCTCCAAATGATATACTAGTTAATGGAAGAAGCAAAAAAAAATTATATTGCAGAACTTACAAGTACATAATACTATATACATTTAAGATAGATTTTAAAGCGCCAAATAGATGATTTACCCTTCTTCAACTTGGAAATAGAGTTTCCACAAGCGATGACAATGTCTGTCTCGTTGCATATCGCACTTGAAATGAGCCTGATTTTCGAATCCACATAGAAATCTCTATAAACCTTCAATTCTCTTGAAAATCACATATATGGCATGGGGAGAAGCAAAATTACACCATCCTGTATCAATCAAACCGCCAAATTGAGAATGGTCTTCACAATTCATGTTCAAAGTGAAACATTGCAACTTAGTAGATATGAAATAAAGTTTTCATTCCAAAAGTTAAAAGAACGCCAGCTACATTAGAATAGTTTTGTTGCACGTCGCATCTTAAAAGGCGACCGTCTTTTCAAATTCATATATCGTCACTCAAAAGCAATCTGCAAGTCAAGAGACTCCCCTAGATTGACATGCCAAAAGCAAAATTAAGAACCTACTCCAATATTATCCCGAACAGATGAGTGAAAAAGTAGATATTCGCCCTTAAAGATAAATCTCTCAATATCAGGTCATCAAATCAAGCCAAAAAGCGAAGAACTTTAATGAGCGCTAGTGATATCAGAAAGTGGTTTGTTGCACATCGCATATTTTCATAAATACCATTTTCAATAATGCACATCATATTTCCCATGGTTAACGTCAATGCTGAATTTTGCTGTACTTTCTAGGACAAGCAGTATCATGGTTAGCCAAATTTTGAAAATACAACATCGAGCAAGGACTTCATGAATTTTTGTCCTCAAATATGAGGATGAAGGAGAAAATATGGAATTGCGGGCTCGATGGATGCGAACGAGCCCCAGTGGTTCGAAAGGGTGAACGTAGACTAGATTGTGCAAACATATTCATCATTTATGCTTTCGAGGTTCTCAGCGTGATGTGCTCGGAGTATGGTGGTGGCTATGACGTGATTCGAGGAGGGTATGGCCGTCGTTTCTATAGTGCCTGGAAAGAGGTTTGCGAATCATCTGAATATCAGCCGCAATCTCCGCATCTTCCAAGTTCCTCACAATATTCTGGGTATTGACATTATGGCATCAAGAACTTATGATCATGTTCCAACTGTACCGGATCATGGAAAACACATCGATTGCCATCTGCTATTTACAATTGACATATCAATGACTCTGGAAATCTCGATGCAATCAATAGTATTTTCTGGGATCCGAATATTTGATTCATTCACTCACCTACAGATCCCGATATTACCTCCACCACGTCACTATATCCGGGATTCACATCTCTACGGTCTGCCTCGACCATGTTTCTTTAAGCCGGATGCCAAAAAGGTACAGCTGTTCAAACTCGAATTAACCAGTATTAAAATGCATACTTGAATGGGGCGTTGGACAGTGAAATATGTTGTCAGCTGGCTGTAGAAGTGTGGCAATAATTCATTGTCAATTTTTTTTTATATTGGTGAGAAGAAGGAAAAGAAAACTAACTAGTGGTACATAACAGCTCCGTGGCAAACCAATATGCAACCAGCGAAGGCAGCAAAGATGAGGGTGCCATTCTTGCAAGGTGATCTAGGAGCACATTTGAGGCAGAAACATTCGTGTGCAATAGTAATTCTGAGTTCACATACAAGTTCCGTGCTTCGGCATAAGAAAGTGCCCGAATTTATCGAAGGTCATTGCGAACATCTGGTGAGTGAAAGAGACAGAGGGGCAGCTGACCGGCAAATGTGGGACACGAACTGATGTTAGATTTCTAGTGAGATCTCATCAATGCTAGTAGGAATTAGTATATGTTGTACCGGATTTTGAAAATTGCCCACCCATTTTCCATAGCCAGTCCTGAAATTGTGCCCTTCAAAACTTATAACAATTGTGTGCACAGTGGCTCTGTGGCGGAGTGTACGTTTGGTACCAAGCTTTAAGAGAGACAACGAGGCTAGTGCTGCATGCTCGTTGTCGCCGGTGCGGTCACCTCAAGCCACTGACAGAAAAGTCTTCAGGCAAGACTTTCACATCTATTCTTGTTGGTGTGAAGGATCATGGTCTTTCCTGCCTAAAGACTAAGCAAGACGTAGGAGTATGCTAGGTGTGGTATACCTTATGCCTTTTGAAGGTCGTACTACAAACTTGAATTTGGACGTGCTTGGAAATTATTCATGCAAATATAAAAATTACTGAACTTCTCCCTTCAGCATTACGTCTCAATGAATAGGCACTACCTAGTTGTCTTAGATACCGCTTTCTCTAGACCAGTACTACACTATACTTGCAATTCAAGACTGTTTCTTGAAACTTCCAAGAAGCGAGATAAAGATAGAACTTATAGAAAGCAATTCTTTCCAGCCATCGCATCTTGTGTTGCATTTACATATCCGTCACGGCTCATAGATGGCTTTTAGGAACTTTCCTGTATCACAATTACTTCATACTTTTTATACCCATGAGTGTTCATGAAGAGACCGTCAAGGTAGGTAGGTAGGTAGGTAGGTATGCTCGAATAAATTCACAGGATTTGTTACATAACACATAGTAATTGACAAGGGGGGGAGTGAAGTTTGAGATCTCTCTAAGATTGGCGCTTGTTTCACTAGCGAGATAAGTTTAACCGCGCCTCGGCGTCTCATTGATTGCTGAATCTCGAAAGTTTATCGACAAGCAGCAATACCCACCTTGCCATCTTCGAAATGGACGACCTCGAATCTCTCGAAATCCTTTCCTTGGTCCAGAGAGTGGCCTCTGAACTGCATAATCATCTTGGAATAAGCGATAAAACCCTCGCCGAATTCGTTATTGCGCAACGTACAGAATGCAGTTCTCTCGAAGAATTCCAGAAGAAGCTCGAGGCAATCGGCGGAGACTTTCCTCAAAGTTTAGTCGAGAGTGTGGATCGCCTGGTCTTGACGATGCATCCAAAGTTCAAAGGTAGCAAAGGGAGAAATGGCGCATTGGCTGAAAACGGGAACCTCAAAGTCGAAGAGAAAACGAAGGTCTTCAAAGGTCTGGCATTACCCGACAAGAAACCGGCATGGCAAGACGAAGACGAATCCTCGAGCGGCCACATGATGAATGGAACTGATGCGATCGACGATACCCTTGCATTATTAGAAGGTCTGGCACCCAAGGCGCAGCCTGTCGATGATACCCTGGCATTATTAGAAGGTTTGGCACCCAAGGCGCAACCGATGAAACTTGAGAGAGCAAACAGAAAACGAAGCAGAAGTCCAGATCAAGGTTATGACAGAGGACGAAGTCGCAGGGATAGGCATAGATCTAGATCACGGTCCGGAGATGAACCAAGGAGGCGTCGAAAGCACGAATATGAAGAAGACGAATTTGGGAGGACGCGAAAGAGTCACAAAAGTAGTAGGAGGAAAAGAGAAGATGATGATTACATACGACCACGCACTCCTGAAATTGACGATGAAGTTGTTTTACAGAAGATTTATGACGGCCATGTCACTAGTGTTAAGGATTTCGGTGCTTTCGTTAATATACACGGTGTAAAGGGAAAGGTTGATGGGCTTGTGCATGTTTCGGCATTAGTGGAAGGGCAACGAGTAAATCACCCGTCGGATCTGGTTTCGCGAAACCAACCTGTCAAGGTCAAAGTCATTAAAGTGGAGAGCAACAGAATCGGACTTTCAATGAAGGAGGTTGATCAAGAAACTGGGATGGATTTGGCCCCTCAAGAGAAATTTCATTCTGGGGCTAATAGTGCTCCTCTTGGTAGCAAGAATGAGTATGGTTTAATTGATGAGCCTGTGCCGGTATTCGAAGGACAAATGTTGCGAAATTCGAAGAAGAACAAGAAGAGAATGACATCTCCTGAAAGATGGGAGATTCGACAACTGATCGCATCCGGCGTGGTAAAAGCATCGGATTACCCAGATCTAGACGAAGACTATAATGCGACACTGAACGGCGAAGGTGAAATGGAGCTAGAAGAAGATGTTGATATTGAGATTCGAGAAGAAGAGCCTCCTTTCTTGGCCGGGCAAACGAAGCAATCCTTGGAGTTGTCTCCAATCAGAGTCGTAAAGGCTCCTGATGGTTCACTTAATCGCGCCGCTATGGCAGGTACGACTCTAGCTAAAGACCGTAGGGAACTGAAACAACAGGAAGCTCAAGACAAAGCTACGGAAGATGGAGCGAAGGTTGATCTTTCTGCACAATGGAATGACCCGATGGCGAATCCAGACCAGAGACAGTTTGCTAGTGATCTTAGGACTGCAAAACAACAAGCACCCAGTAGTGAAGTTGTACCTGCTTGGAAGAAGGCTACTCAGAATAAGAATGAACCTCTAGGTCGCCGCACGGATATGTCCATCAAAGATCAAAGAGAGTCGCTCCCAGTGTTTAGGTTCCGCTCCGAGTTAATCAAGGCTGTTCATGAGAATCAACTTTTGATCGTGGTCGGCGATACTGGTTCGGGAAAGACGACACAATTAACTCAATATTTAGCAGAGGCAGGCTTTGCTAACAATGGCATAATTGGTTGCACCCAACCTCGTCGTGTTGCTGCTATGTCAGTTGCAAAGCGTGTCTCGGAAGAAGTTGGCTGCGAGCTTGGTCAAGAGGTTGGATACACTATTCGATTCGAAGATTGTACTAGTCCAGCCACGAAGATCAAGTACATGACAGACGGAATGTTGCAGAGAGAAGTACTGATGGATCCTGATTTAAAGCGATATTCGGTTATCATGTTGGACGAAGCTCACGAACGTACCATTTCTACAGATGTTCTCTTTGCATTACTGAAGAAAACGATCAAACGTCGACCAGATCTGAAAATCATCATCACATCTGCAACTCTTGATGCTGACAAATTTTCGTCATACTTCAACGAGTGTCCCATTTTCTCTATTCCAGGTAGAACTTTCCCTGTAGAGGTCATGTACTCAAGGGAGCCTGAATCTGATTACCTTGATGCTGCTCTGGTTACGGTTATGCAAATTCATTTGACAGAACCTCCTGGAGATATTTTGCTCTTCTTAACTGGTAGTGAGGAAATTGACACGTCTTGTGAAATTCTTTACGAGCGTATGAAAGCACTTGGACCTAGTGTTCCGGAATTAATTATCCTTCCTGTCTATGCCTCACTTCCCACAGAATTGCAGAGCAAGATCTTTGACCCTGCACCCCCTGGAGCTCGAAAGGTAGTGATTGCCACCAACATCGCCGAAACTTCTATTACTATCGACCATATCTATTACGTTATTGATCCTGGATTTGTCAAGCAGAATGCTTATGATCCCAAACTCGGTATGGACTCGTTGATAGTTACCCCAATTTCCCAAGCACAGGCCAAACAGCGTGCAGGACGTGCTGGAAGAACAGGCCCAGGAAAATGTTTCCGTCTTTACACGGAAGCAGCTTTCCAATCTGAGATGTTGCCTACTAGTATACCGGAAATTCAGAGACAAAACTTGTCCACGACCATTTTGATGTTGAAGGCTATGGGCATCAATGATTTACTTCATTTCGACTTTATGGATCCACCTCCCACAAATACTATGTTGACAGCCTTGGAAGAATTGTATGCCCTTTCGGCATTGGACGACGAAGGACTTCTTACTCGTTTGGGTCGCAAGATGGCAGATTTCCCTATGGAACCATCTCTTTCAAAAGTTCTCATTGCAGCTGTTGACCTCGGTTGCTCTGATGAATTGCTTAGCATTGTTGCTATGATTTCCATCCCAACTATATTTTATCGACCCAAGGAAAAACAAGCCCAGGCGGATCAGAAAAAGGCCAAGTTTCACGATCCTCATGGTGATCATCTCACACTTTTGAACGTTTACAACAGTTGGAAGCAGAATAAATTTGCAAGTCCATGGTGTTTCGAAAATTTCATACAAGCACGAAGTATGAAGCGCGCAAAAGATGTACGCGATCAATTATTAAAAATCATGGAACGTTACAAGCATCCCATTGTATCTTGTGGTCGTAACACAGATAAAGTTCGACAAGCACTGTGCTCTGGATTCTTCCGAAATTCTGCTCGAAAGGATCCTCAGGAAGGATACAAAACTTTGATTGAAAGCACACCTGTATACTTACATCCTTCGTCCGCTCTTTTCGGTAAACAAGCCGAATGGGTTATTTATCATACCCTTGTAATGACGACGAAAGAATACATGCATTGCACAACAGCTATTGATCCTAAGTGGTTGGTGAGTGCGGCACCAAGTTTCTTCAAGGTGGCGGATGCAGGGAAATTGTCAAAGAGAAAGAAGGCAGAGAGGATTCAACCTCTTCATAATAAATTCGCGGCAGAAGATGATTGGAGGTTGAGTGCGCAAAAGAGGCAGGGTAGGAGCGGTGGAGGTGGAACTTGGGGTTAAGGAGTGGGCCTCTGTATTTATTGTACGATATGGTGACCTATGGGGCTTATTAGCTTAGGTAGAAATACGGCGATATAATGGAAGAATTTTGATATCTTCAGGGCACATACTTTCATGTTGTGTTTGGCCCTTGAAAGATGACGGATATATTTACGATGCATATCTGTGGGAGAAACAAGTGCTTGATGAAATGCTCCTTGTTCGCAAGTCTACCTCAGTCTTCAATCAATATTACATCTATAAGACGGTTGGGAAGGTCGAATATTAGATTTGTATTGGCAGCAAGTGTAGTTAAGATACATCTAGTGTGTTATGTCCTCGCCCCCAAAACTCTATGCATCAATGTCAATTCCATCTCCTCCACCCACATTCTTCTCAAGTTCAGCGTTATCAGAGACCTTCTCGTCAGCAGGTTGAGTGATCGGTTCGGGAGACTTGGCAGTAATATCGACAATTTTGGATGAAGGGTTCAATGGCTTTGCGATGAGGGTTGGCAGCAGCCTTACGTCTTTGGCGGCGATTCTAAATGACATGTTGGCATGAAACGAATGAAGAATGAATCTGAAGGAATTGTAGCTTAGGGGTCCACGTCGAATGGGGGGGGCACCAAAGTTTATAGTTGTAGTACCAGGGCTAACATATATCTACAAGACAAACTGTTAGTGGCGAATGTAATTAGAAGAAAGAAGGTTAAACTGACTATCTGGTGGCCCGTACTATAGATCTGAAACATGATGCTTGTATCGAAGACGTGGACTTGAAAGGAAAATTTGGCACAGAAAATTGTTGGATGGACAGCATGAAGATGAAGAAAAAGGGAACGAAAGGAATGAAGGAGAGGTGCTCTATTTATGAATTCCTAGTCCCAAGCTAGTCGAATGCTCTGACCCTGAACGACGGTGATATCGTAGGTTTCGCCAAATGAAGAAGTCGCATTCTGAAATCCTTCCAAACAGCATATCAGATAAGTGCCAAAAGTCATTCGATTGATTATGCGATTAGAAAGAGGAGGTTCCTACCTGTACATAGAATTTGACTGCGCAATTAATCTTCATATTATCTGGGTATTACCAGTAAGGTTGACCGGATTGGTCACATCTTAAAAAATCAATTGGGGAAAGCCGTACCTTGGCTCCATTCGAAGAAACGCCGGTGACGATGATGCCTTGACACTTGAGACAATAGGTAATACCTCATTCTTTAATACTTGCTGTATTTATTGATTCTCGCTGTAATGTAAAAAATACTTGAATACCTTAAATACAGCAAGATTTATAGTTAGATATATAAGTACCATAAACTTTTCTTGTTATACATCTTGCTTTGTTCATTACGTAGAGATGAGGGGGTTGCCTAGAGTTCGTTTGATTCATCAAGCCTTGATTGATGCATCTTATTTCGAGCGTGAGATTGCGCCTGACCTAGTCTCGCTTGAAGGAGAATGAGGTCGACAAGGTCCATATTCAACGATCGTACTCGCTTCCCGTGGCAAACTCGATTGTATGCCACGACACTTGTCCCAGGCTTCATTTCCACAAGGCAGAAGTTGGTGGGGAATTGAACTGTTCTACTACATCCTGCTCTAAGATAGGTAGAACTCCAACCAAATCAGAATTTAACTGCATGTTTGAAGAGCAACTCAGCATAGTGCCCAACGGAAGAAATGGGGTAAATCAACAGGAGCTCATAGCTAAACCTTAGGTCTAGTTAGTATGTCTGCTGAGGTCAATCATTGAGACATCTATCCAATTTTATACAGAAAATGCATGTTCATTCAGATTATCGAAATATGACCTACATTTCATGGCAAATGAAGCGTTCCACCTATTGTCATTTTATCCATAGCCATATACGGTATACCTTAAACTCGATATCAAAACAACCATGCATTATTACTGCATTTTCTCTCCACCACTGTTCGACTTGAACTGCAACGCTCCTTCCAATGCTGGTAGCCATGGACGTCTATCCTTTACGAAGCTCTCCCATTCTGGCGTCAAGACTTTCTCGAAGATTCCCATCTTCAAAATGGTTTTGCCAGGATATGCTTCGGCGATTGATTGAATTGGACTATGCATTTTGTTAACAAATCCACTCATAATTGGATCTGGAGAAAGAAGCTTCAAAGGATATAAAACGGAGATATGAACTGGCAATGGAATGGGATGGGAACCCACTTTCCACAGGTCTTGCAAAAGTGCCTCCTAACACATTTTCCGCTCGAGGTATCATAGTCCTCATATACATTCATATTTTCCGCTCCGTTAATCGTCACTTTTTCACTCTCGATTGTGAGATTACTTCCGAATGCTGGTCTCATTGTCAATTGTTGTCTCATAAGTTGAGATATTCCCACAAACCTGAGGAAGCTGTCTTCCTGCAATTCAGACAATGACATAAATGACCTCTTGGACGAGAGAAGAGTTCCGAATCCTTGATTGTTACGGTTATGGCGCCGCAGAGACATGTCCCTTCCATCTTTTCAGGTATGGATAGCTTTTGGGCTTTTGATATGAGATTCGGATAAGATAGGGGGTTGAGATGTGATTGATATTAGAGGAATAGGGAGAGTATAGTATAAAATTCTATTAATCAATGTAAAGATAGTATTTAAATGGGTTTACACGTAGGTATGTATGTACGTTTCGCATACTTCATATAATGAGGGCGGAATAGTGTGCGGGGCAAGCGGGGCATCAAACTCGTCAAAATCGACCCCCTTTCAAAAGGGTGCGATTGAAATAGCAACACACTAAGAAAACTAAACTCTATTAAGTACAATCTACATTACAATTCTAAAATGAAATCTTTAATCGAAAACTTAATCAACGTGTTTGTAGCTTTACTTAAACAATCTTCAAATCTCTATATAATAATAACTTTTTGTATCGATTCCAATGAATGAGAGTATTTTAATAATTTAAAGAATCTAGTTCTAATTTACTCTAATCACTTTTCTATATTCAGCCTTATATATATATTATCTAATTCAATATCATATAATTCCTTATCAACTTTTACTTTCTTTATACCTATATATAATTCAAAGTTATATTCTTCGAATTTTACAGTATATTCAAGCCAATCAAACTCCTCTATTTCCCCGAAATTGTTACGGGAGCTGCCTCTAGGGTCACGTGGAAGTGTCTAGAGATCTCTCGAGGTGGTTTAGACTAGACTTCAAGTAGGAATTCAATAAGGTTGTAACTGGTTGCAATTCTCGTAACTATAGTAATGAAACTAATGATTGTTCTTGAGCACGAAGCTCCATATTATAATGAAACTCATTCTGTTATATAGACCTTCGTCCTCTGGAGCCCCTGGGATCCGTATGCTCCTGGAGCCCGTAGCTCCCCAAGGCTCCCTCACGTGACACGCGAATGTGTCATGTGATGTCTGTCGTAACACTATCCCCTTCCTAGTCTAGCGCTTGTCCCAAGCGTTAATATAGTGCTACCTGTCCCCACATGATGTTCATATCGTACCGTACCTCCTTGTCTTTTAACTATGTCGTCAACTGTTAATAAAATTCGAATAACAGCCAGAAAACGTGAAGAACAATTAATCCTTGCTCAGCTGATTGATTCCTGTGGTGTCGAAATGTCTCCGTGTTCTCATTGCCGTGAGCAAGGTTTGCGCTGTGTTAAGGATTACGGCAATCCCCAAAGGACTCGTTGTTCGGAGTGCGTGCGCTCCCGAGTTTCTTGTGATGCTGAATTTGCTCTGGAGGATGATTGGGATCGAGAAGTTCCTCGTGCCTCTGACTGGGCTTCCCTAGATCGTCAAGAAGAGAAATTGGATGAAGAGGAAGAGCGCGCGGTCGCGGCTTCCCAAGAAGCGATGGCCAAGGTGGTTCGCCTTCGTAAACAAAAGAAATTTCTTCGCGAACGTAGGAAGAAAATGGCTGACCGTGGCCTAAAATATTTGGATGAGCTTGATGCTCTGGAAGAAAAGGAAAGGCTAGAGAAAGAGCGTGTTGAGAGAGAAAAAGAAATGACGTCTGCCTCTGTTGCTGGTCCTATCGACGACTCCTTTGCTTTCGATTCTTCTTTGCCTGAGTTGTCCGAAGCGGATCTTGAGGCTTTATTGGCAGGTGTGGGTACTTCAGGTGGAATGCCCGTAGCTTTTCAGGGCAGCTGAGATCTTCCTTGAATTCCCATGTGTTTTCTGAGTGTGGGTAGTCTAACCATTTGATCAAATACTTGACCTTGTTTCTGACGTATTTGCAGTCTAGTATTGTTTCGACATCGTATATGGCGTTTGGGTTGACTGGTTCAATTTCTGTAAATGGCGCATTTGGCGCTCCTGGTGGTGCTGGTTCAAGCAAGGATATGTGGAATACTGGGTGGATATTCATTGTGTCTGGTAATTTCAATCGATAATTAACCGTTCCTATTACCTTATCAATCTTGAATGGTCCTAGTTTCCTGTGGTCGAGTTTATTGCTTGGTCTCTTGGTTTCGATGTTTCGTCGTAGCAAATAAACTTTATCCCCCTCTTTAAGCGTAGGTTCCATACTACGTTTCGTATTGTAGTACGCTGCTGTTCTGGATGATATGAATCTTAGATCAAGAGCAAGCTGCTCTTGTAAATCCTTTAATTGTTCGACTTGTATTATTGCTGATTCGGCATTAACTTCCTGTAGTATCGGTGTTTGGTATGCTTTAGGATTAAACCCAAAGTTCGCGCGTGCTGGTGTAATCTTTGTGGTTTCCGTTTCCGATGTGTTATATGCGAATTGTGCCATAGGTAATAGCTCTACCCAATTGTCCTGTCGATAATTTATATAGCATCTAAGATATGCTTCCATTGTCTGATTGGTCCTTTCTGTTTGACCATCTGTCTGTGGGTGGAAGGCTGTTGATAGCTTTCTCTTAATACCCATGAGTGCTAATAAGGTAGTCCAGAATTTCGAGGTAAAGAGCTTGTCTCTGTCCGAGATTATCTCATCTGGTACTCCGTGTATGCTTACTATGATCCTAAGGAACACATATGCTAGCTGCTCAGCATCCCATGTTTCCTTGAATGGTATCATATATGCAAATTTCGTTAGCCTGTCTACTATATTGAGTATCGCGTCGTACTCAATGCCTGTAGTAGGATCTTTTGAGAGTGGTAGTTTAACCACAAAGTCCCATGTAATGGACTTCCATGGCTGAGAAGGCATGTCTGGGGTCTGGAGCTGGCCATACGGAGCGTGTCGTGATGACTTGTTTCGTATGCAGGTGTCACAATTTCCAACAACTTCTTCAACTATCGTTCTCATTCGTGGGAAGTAACTGATTTCCCGTATTCTTGCAAATGTTCTTGCAATTCCTTGGTGTCCGTGTGCCGGCAACCCATGTTGTTCCGTCACGAATTCCTTGGTCATTTGACTCGGAATGTATACTTTTCCATGAAAGTATATGGTCTCGTTTTCTATCGTGAACCCTAGTTCTATTGTCTTGTGTATGCGTATAGCCGTAGCATCCTTGTCGTAATGTGATTGGATTTTGACCCTGAGATGGTTGTCTTCCAATATATGCGTAGCTGCGAGCTGTGGTGCATTGTAAACCAGTGATTCGCCTTCTTTCTTGAATATTGCGTATGATTCGTACGACTTATTTTCTTGGTATTCTGGTTTTCGGCTAAGAGCGTCGGCTCTAGCGTTTTCTGATCCTTTAACATATGAAATCTTGAAATTGTAATTGGCCATGGTCTCCGACCATCTGACCTGTCGTCTGTTTAACTGCT